TTTCATATGCTTACTAGCCACTTGTAGAAATGTTTATTCAGATCCTTTGCCCAATTTTAACTGGGTTATCATCTTATTATTGAGTTGTAAGAGTTCTTTATAATTTCTAGATACAAGTTTCTTATTAGATATAGGATTGGCAAGTGTTTACTTCCACTCTTTAGGTTGTCTTTACTTTCTTTATGATATGTTATCCTTTGAAGCGCAAAATACCGATTTTTCTTTTGTCACTTGTGCTCTTAGTGGTATTTTGAAGAAGACTTTGTTTAGCTCAAGATCATAAAGATCTGCTCCTACATTTTCTTCCTAGAATTAGTTGTAGCTCTTACGTTTAGGTCTATGAATCATTTTAAGTAAATTTTTGTATAAGGTGTGAGGTAGGAGTTCAACCTCATTTTTTTGGTGTGTATCTAGTTGTTTCAGCACAATTTATTGAAAAGCCTATTCTTTCCCCCATTGGTTTTGGCATCCTTGCTGAAAATGAGTTAACCATCAATATGAGAGTTTAATTTCTGACTCTCAATCTTAGTCCATTGTTTGATATGTCTATCTTTATGCTAGTACCATATGTCTTGATTATTATAGCTTTATAGTAAGTTTTGAAATTGTTAAGTATAAATCTTCTGAATTTGTTCTTTTCTAGATTTCTTGGGATATTCTGGGTCCCCTGAATTTCCACATGAATTTTAGGGTCAGCTTGTAAATCTCTGCCAAGGAGCTACCTGGAATTTTGATAGGGATCACACTGAATCCATAGATTTGGGGAGTATTATCATTTTAAGAATATTAAATCTTCTAATCCATGAATGTCAGATGTTTTTCTACTTACTTAGGTCTTTAATTTCTTTCAGCAATGTTTTGTGATCTTAAGAGTAAAAGAGATGCTCTTTTCTGGTTAAATTTATTCCTAAGTATTTTATTATTTTTGATGCTATTGTAAATGGAATTTCATTTTCATATTAATTGCTAGTATAAAGAATCACATTTTTGTATATTGATTTGTACCTTGCAATCACTGAACTCACTTATTAGCTCTAATAATTTTTAGTGGATTTCTTGGGATAGTCTCTATATAGTATCATGTCATCTTTAAATAGAAGTGGTTTTATTTCTTTATTTCCAATCTTGGTACTTGTTCTTTTGTTTTCTTGCCTAACTGCCATGGCCAGTGTGATGTTGAATAAAAGTGGCAAGAGCGTGCATCCTTGTCTCACTCCTGGTATCAGAGAGAGGGGGCAGCATTCCATCTTTCACCATTGCCTGTGATGTCAGCTGTGGGCTCTTAAAAGATACCCTTTATCAGAGTGAGGAATTTTCCTTCTACTTCTAATTTGTTGTGTTTTTTTTACTTTATTTATTTATTTTGAGACAGTTTTACTCTGTCACCCAGGCTGGAGTGAAGTGGCGCAATCTCAACACACTGCAACCTCTGCCTCCCAGGCTCAAGGGATTCTTGTGCCTCAGCCTCCCAAGTAGCTGGGATTACAGGCACCTGCTACCACACCCGACTAATTTTTGTGTTTTTAGTGAAGACAGGGTTTCATGGTGTTGGCCAGGCTACTCCTGACCTCAAGTGATCCACCTGCCTAGGCCTCCCGAAGTGCTGGTAGTACAGGCATGAGCCACTGCACCCAGCCTTTGTTGAGTGTTTCTATCGTGAAGTGGTGTTAGATTTTTGTTAAATACTTTTTCTGATCCATTGAGATGATCATGATGTGTGGTTTTTGTCTTTTATCCTACTGACATAGAATATTACATTAATTGATTTTGAGGTTGAAAACTAATCTCATATTCCTGGGCTAATTCCACTTAGTCATGATGTATATATATATAAATTTTTTTTATTGCTGGATTTTGTTTGCTAGTATTTTCTGTAGGACTTCTGGGTCTACATTCATAATACTTACTGGTCATACTTTGCTTCCCTTGTGATGTCTTTGTCTTATTTTGCTATCAGGGTAAAACTCATAGAATGAGGTGTGAAGCATTCCTTCCTCTTCTGTTTTTGGGAGGAGTTTGTGAAGAACTGATGATTGATACTAATGTTCGATAGAATTCACCAGCGAAGCCAGAGACAATCTGGGCTTTTTTGGGTAGGAAGTTTTAAAATTATTAATTCAATCTCTTTGCTTGTTATAAATCTATTCAGATTTTCTACTTTTTATGGAGTCAATTTCAGTAGTTTGTGACTTTCTAGGAATTTGTCCATTTCATCCAAGTTATCTGATTTATTGGCATACAACTGTTCATGGTATTCTCTAATAACTCTTTTTATTTCTGTAAGGTTGGTAGTATCTCCTCTTTCATTCTTGATTTTGAGTCCCCCTCCCTTTTGCCAGTCTAGTTAAAGTTTTGTCAGTTTTGTTGAACTTTGCAATCTCATGCATTCTAATTGCCTTTACTAATATGGATCACACTTTTCACTTTTTCATCTTTCCAACTTGGCGAGCCCTCCTGAGAGCAGAGTCTATATACCCCAGGGCCTCATGTAGTGCTCAACACCTTTATGGACTGAATTAGAAATAAAGCAAAGTTCAGACAAGCTTGGAGACTTGCTCAAAGCCATGTAGCTGCGGAGAATGGCTGGTCTCTCAGCTCCAATACAAGGGCACTTGCCCCCGCTGTCTCACAATCTGCTAGGATGTGAGAAAGAAACCGGGTGGGTAGCAGCCAGGACTTTAGGGCCCCTTCCAGTAGAGTGCTTGCTAGAACCCAGCACTGCTGCAGGTTTACTCAGCATAGATGGATTGGACTCATTCCTTGAGGTTTGGGGACATTACACTAATAAATGGAAATTGCTCCGATTTCTACTCAAGAGAAGAAAGGACTGTGAAATCACCTGAGCGATTTGAAAGTGGAATGGTTTGTCCCAGGAAGTGGTAGGTTCCCTAGGAGGTAGAAGGAACTCAGCACAGCCTACCCAGCTACTTAGGAAGAATGTCATAGGGAGGAACCACACATTGAATAGGGCAACAAGTTGCTGGTGCAGGCAGTTATCTCTGCCAGGAACATTCTCTCCCCTTTCCTTACCTGACGAACTCTCATTCTTGAAGCTCCTTTTCAGAAGACAGGGCTAATAGCCTCTATGTTTATTTTCCCCTAAGCTTTGTACACATCTATAAATATTAGTCATGTGTCTGTCTTTAGAAAGACATGCTGCCAAAGAGACTTTGGTGATGTCATTGGGGCACTGTTCTCCTATTTTCCAAGCACTCCAGCACTGGAATATTTGCTGGATTAAATTGAACAGGGGGTTGAATGGGGATTTTGTTCTGCCCTTACATTCTTATGAGTTTTCTAACCCATTTCCATATAGTTATTTCCCTGTGGATTATCTAGCCCCTACAATCAAATAGTCCTCACATCTCTAGCAAGAAGAGTCTAAATAGCTGGTAATCCATTTCTGGGCTAAGTGTGTCAGGGGAGTCATCCACCTGAGGGGTGACATTGTCTCAATCCTTTGTAAGTTACTTTGGGGAAAGAGGTGAAGCCAAATAACATCCAATTATCTTGTCCATGATACGAGCACGGAAGTAGAGAGCCCAGAAAGCTGTTGTATACAGTGGGCCATCCCACAGCCAAGTTCATCACACTCACAAAAGCACCCTGAACCATCTCCTAGCAATAGAGGAACTGATTTATAGCTCACATATGTAGACCTAGATATAAAGAAGGCAAGGAGTGCTTGTGGCACAGAACCCTGTCTACCTTAAATTCAACAGGATTTACAAATAACCAAAACAGGTAACGTGAAGTCTGCTCAGCTCTACTCTGCCTATGTGGAGATTAAGCTATGATGTCCCCCTCATCCAAGTCTTGGCGGCTTCAAGTTCAAGTTGTTAGCTTCTAAAGATATATTACAAAGGGATATGTACCAGGGAAGTAAATGAGAATGGGACCAATTAAATTCCTCCCAGACAAAATTATCAGCCAGAAGATTCCAGGGAAAGAATTCAATTTAAACATGTATGGCTTGCATACTTTAAGAACAAGCATGGAGATGTGTATGCACTGGGGAGAATTTTAAAAAGATGATAAGACCAGACCCTTCAGAGAATATAGTCAGGCTTTAAAAAGTCATTCCGCCTGTAATCCCAGCACTTTGGGAGGCCAAGGCGGGTGGATCACTAAGTCAGGAAATCGAGACCATCCTGGCCAACATAGTGAAACCCTGTCTCTACTAAAAATACAAAAATTAGCCGGGCGTGGTGGCGGACGCCTGTAGTCCCAGCTACTCGGGAGGCTGAGGCAGGAAAATGGCGTGAGCCAGGGAGGTGGAGGTTGCAGTGAGCTGAGATCTGGCCACTGCACTCTAGCCTGGCAATAGAGCAAGACTCCGTCTCAAAAAAAAAAATAAAGAAAAAACAAATCATTCCGAGCAGGTTGGTGGGAAGTAAATTAAGAAAAGTGTTGAGTCCCAAAGATGGCTGTGTCTGCACAACCTGGACAAGGTAACTTCATATCCTCCTGTGGCAAGAGCAGCAGTTCCTACAGCAACCCCGCAATTCAATGTCTGTGCGCAGCTGTGCCTGCGCTCCAGGTGCCTGGATCGATGCCTCTCGCAGGGGGGTTATCTGCTCGGAAAGGCAGGCGCCGCACACCCTGGTTTCCTTTTCTTCTTTCTTGAATCACTTTTCTTTATTCTCTCTAATCTCATGCCAGATTATTGAATCACTTTTTAATGACTTGCACTAAGACGTGATCTGAGCTCTTTTTTTCCCCGCTTTACTTTCTTCCTTCCTTGGTCAAAGACAATTTCTTTTAGACACCTCCCCGCCCCCGGCCCCCAAGCCTCGAACCTCGCTCCGCCCCCAACTCCAAGGCTTTCGTCACTGTCGGAAGCGGAGCTGGGAGTCTTGGGAGGCAGCGCCCCCTGGTGAATTTAGTGGGCTCCTGCAGCCGGCGCTCCTCCCGAGGCCGGCGCCACCTGCCGGGAGAGCGGGAAGCATGCAGGGGCCGCCCCAAACCAAAAGGCCCGGCCGCCGCCGCCGTGTACTCACTCGCCAGGGTGGTAACGGTGCTGACGCTCTCATCTCCGCCGACGCTGTATCGTGGGTCCAAGAAAGAAAATGAAGGGTTAAAATGCCAGCCACGCCGAGACCCTTCAGACACTACCCAGAAACGCCCGTCTCCCGAGAAACAGCCGTGGGGCTTGGAGCTTGCCCTTTCCCATCACTTCAGTAGAAAAACGGAAAAAGCAAACCAGAATATGGCTCCCCTCCCCATAGGCCAGCACATCAAACAACAAGCCAGCTTTAAACCGGCGACTGATTTCCGCTGGTGCTGGGGCAGGGGAGGCTGGTGGGTTCCTTGCACCCCTGCTTTCAAAGGGGAAGTAGTCCCTCGTCTGCCAGCCCCTTTCCAACTAGCCACTGCCCCGTGCATTAATATTATTGGTGTAAACGTAGTCTTAAAAACGCTGGCCCTATTTTTTTCTCTTTTCCTGCTTGGCTTGTAAAAGCCGTTTTTAAAAGGTGTCTTCTAGAGAGTCAGCCGTCTTCCAAGCCAATACTAAAATTCCAAGGTGATCAAAGTGAGAAGGATTTCTAGGCATGCAAATATGCAGCATTCTAGAGTGGACTGGATTCCCTGCTTTTCCACACCCCCGCCCCATTCTGTGCCACGCGTGTCTAGGAGCATCTAAAAGGTTCTCCAAATGTTTGGGTTTTAACTGTGCAGCAACGTGAGGAAGGATGCCAGAGAGTCGGCACTCAGGTTAAAGCAGGTGTCAGATGGAGATGCCAGATTCCAGGTGAGGAAACACCAAGGCTTCCCGGGCTTGCAGCAGAGGTTTGATCGCATGCAGAGCAGAAGTAAGCCTGCCCAAAGTGATACATGAGAAGGGAATGCACTGGTAGGGGCCAGGAAGTATCTGCTCTGCTTCGTGATCTTTTACCTTCTGGCTCTGTGATCTTGGTCAGGTTACTTGCCCTCTCTGAGCCTTGTTTCCTCATCTGTAAAATAAAGGCCCTATAACAACAATGCCAACTGCCAGATACTTATTTTGTGTCAAGCAGTGTGCTGGACACTTAAATTCTTTCTAGTCCTCAGACAGTGCTCAGGTAGTAGCATTATTTCTGCATCAGAGATGAGGAGAGAGGCTCAGAGAGGTCAGGGAACTTGCCCAAGGTTACATCCAGCTGGGTAGCTAGGGCTCAGTTACAACTCTGGTTCCAAAGGCAATGATCTGCGCATCACTCAGGCCACTGCCTCCTTCTGAGATTATATCGCAGAGGGAGAAATGGAAGCCAGAGAAGCATTTCCAACCCAAACATTTATGTAGTTTCTCTCCTAGACTCCTGGCTCAAGGCTCAGCTACTGTTCTGAGCAATGTAGTGGTTTGAGGAGGCTGGTGAACACCTTTTTCAAATTAAACCTAGAAGTTGGTCATAGAAAGAACAAAGCAGCCCACCCCCTGCTTAAGGTGTTGTTTTCTAGAATGCTCAGGGGGTTTCCCTTGCTCTGCAATGAAGAGGTCCTTGGGGCCTTGCCACTCCCTCACTCACCTCCAGGACAGGCCTCGGTACTGAGTCAAGACGTCCAAGATGTTTCCAGGCGTGGACCCAGCCCCATTACCTGCCTGAGAGAGAACGACGACGGGGTGAGTTTCTTTGCTTTCCCCAGTGGCCCACCTCTGCCTGCCTGCCAAAAGGTCTATGTCCTTATGCTGGCCGGGACTGCCTGGGCACTCTCTGGGATCTAGGGTCCAGATGGCACTATATCTCCATATGCATCCTGCCTTTTCAGAGGTGAGTGAGAGCGCCCACTGGGAAGGCCTGGTGCTGTTCACAGCTCTGCTTCATTCTAAGAAACCCTGCCTAGGCCAAGACCAAGTGAAACTTGTCTAGCAAAAGTGCTCTTGAAATTAGACTGTACCTTTTCAAAAGGATACATTTCAGGATCCTGTTTTTCTCATTTTTTAAAAGCTGTGAAGTATATCATAAAAGGAAATATATCATTATCCTTTTATACCAATATCTCTCACCTATGCACAGTTTAAAATGTAGTCATAAAATGAAATCCCACGTAGCCATTATCAGCTGAAGAAAGCACAATGTGGACCCTCTTCAGGTGCATGTCCCTTGCCTAAAGCACGTTGTTTCTGAGCATTTGGAAGAGCATGCCGAGACAGGCCTCCCAGGCAGTTGGGGGTGAAGTCTGGTCTCCACAAGAGGCCCCCAGGTGTGATCCCTGCTCTCTGGTGCCCAGTTCCTTTGCTACCTGCCAGGCAGGTTCACACCCAAAGTGCTGCCTCCCTAGGAACCCCTGAACAGCTGTGCTGAGATGTGATGACCCCCTGTCCTGAGAGTATCTTCGAGGAGACCAGGGAACTGGGAGGAGGTGATGCCAGGCCCCGCTGGGCAGGAAGAGGTTGGGATAAGCAGTATATGAAGCTGCTAAGGCCCAGTCTGCCCGTCCTTCCTGAAAGGTTATGAGCAGTCAGGCCTTTGGGGTGAAGAGTGGCTGCGGGGCCATGGAGGAGGCTGTCACAGCACAAGGATAGGGCCCTGGACTTAGGGTCAGGATCCCTGAGTTCTGATCCTGACTCGAGCACTTACAAGCTGTGTGGCCTCAGGCACTTCACCTTGCCCAGCTTCATTCACCTTCTTACTGATTTAGAGACACAGCCTTGCTCTGTTGTCCAGCCTGGAGTGCAGTTTGCACCATCATGGCTCATTGCAGCCTCGAAATCCTGAGCTCAAGTGATCTTCTAGCCCCAGCCATTCAAGTAGCTGGGACTATAGGCATGCATCACTAGGCTTATTATTTTTTTCTTTTTTGGTAGAAATTGGGTCTTGTTATGTTGCCCAGGCTCATCTTGACCCCCTGGCCTCAAGTGATCCTTTTGCCCTGGCCTCCTAAAGTGCTGGGATTACAGATGTAAGCCACTATGCCTAGCTATTTTTTTTTTTTTTTTCATTTTTGTAGAGATGGAGTCTTGCTATGTTGCCCAGGCTGGTGTTGACCTCTTGGCCTCAAGTGATCCTCCCACCCTGGCCTCCTAAAGTGCTGGGATTATAGATGTGAGCCACTGGGCCCAGACTTTACTGGTCGAATTTAAAGAAAGTCATACCTCACAAGATTTTGTCATGAAGATACATCCCACTGAGTGGGACGATATCACTGTGATAGACCATGGACATGAGAGGTGTCAGCTTGTTCTTGGGGAGGATTCAGCTGGAGACCCTCTATTCTACTGGCCCAGGGAATAGCAGCTGGACTCTGATGAGAGGCTGCTGAATGGAAGCTGTGTCTAGGAACCTCTGGGATCCCCAGCCCCCAGGCTCTCAAAAGGCCTGATTCTGCTTTTCATGGATAGTGCTTTGCAGGGTGTGAGGTGTCACCCTGGGGTAGATGCAGAGGTGGGTTTGGAACATCTCTGGCCTATCTGCCTCTTCCACAGACTCCCGTCTTCCCACCCTCCCCAACCTCCCTGCCCCCATTAGCACTTGCTCCTGTCTCATCATCTCTTCACCCCTCATCCTGGTATCTTCCCTTAGCTTTTCTACATGGACAAACCCAGGCACTGGATCCTTGGAGGAGTTAGTTCTACAGCATGGTCTGGAGATCTTATCCATCCTGCCCCACTGCTGACCAGCTGTGTGACTTGGGGTGGGTCACTCCTGTCACCCACACTCCCTCTGGGGTCCTTCCACTTCCTGCTCTCTCCTTCATCTCAGCATTGGGGAGGAAGATGAGACCAGAATGGAGGTGGGAAACCATCATGGGAAGGCAATGCTGTTGAATACCAGGGTGGGTCAGACAATGGAGAGATGGAGATCAGGACCCGAGATGGAGAGATGGAGATCAGGACCCGAGATGGCAGCATCTAAGAGCCAGGAGTGAGACCTTCTCTCTCCATTTTCCTCTTCAGGTTCTCATATTAGTCAAAATCTTTTCCCCTCCTGCCCCTTCGGCATCAGGGTCACTTACCGTGAGAGAGTCACCGAGGGCTCCAATTACGTTGATGTCAGCCGGCTTCAGCCTATGAACTAAGAATATAAGCAGGAGTGAGTGGAAAATGGGGCTTCCAGGAAAGCACTGGACCCATTGACTCTGAAACAAAGGAATAACTTCTAGGATAATGAAGAAAAAGTCAGTTTTTACCACCAAGACACCTCGGATAAAAGACAGGAAAAACCCATGCTTGTCAATGGGCTCTGCAGTGCCAGGTGTGGAGTCTGACTGCTGGCTTCCTCTCTGGGGCACCTGGACACCGGAACAGCAAGCTTAAAGGTGGATCCTGCTTTAAGTGGGGAGCTGTGTTCACATTTGGTGAGACCAGATGCTACAAGGCGAGTGGTGGCAGGCCCTTGGCAAGGTGATTTGGGAGGAGGGAAGGAATTGCCATGGAAATGCAACCAATACTTAATCTATTCTAGGATCTGATGATATTTGGGATAAAATATTACATCATCCTATCAAAATCAGTTCAGTTTCTCTAAAATGAAAAGGGAGTACTTTTATGCCACTGACTTTTTTTTTTTTTTTTTTTTTTTGAGATGCAGTCTCGCTCTGTCGCCCAGGCTGGAGTGCAGTGGTGCGATCTTGGCTTACTGCAACCTCCACCTGCCAGGTTCAAGCTGTTCTCCTGCCTCAGCCTCCTGAGTAGCTGGGACTATAGGCACGCATCACCACACCTGGCTAATTTTTGTATTTTTAGTAGAGACAGGGTTTCACCATGTTGGCCAGGATGGTCTGAATCTCCTGACCTTGTGATCCACTCGGCTCAGCCTCCCAAAGTGCTGGGATTACAGACGAGAGCCAATGCACCCAGCTGACTGTTTTTTAATTGAGATGAAATTCATATAACTAAAATTAACCATTTAAAAGTGAACAGTTCAGTGGCATTTAGTACGTCAACAATGTTGTGCAGCCATCACCTCTATCTAGCTTTGAAACATTTTCATTACCCCAAAAGGAGACCCTATACCCATTAAGTGGTCACCTCCATTTCTCCCTCCTCCCAGTCCCTGGTAACCAATACCCTGCTTTCTACCTCTATGGATTTATCTATTCTGGATATTTCATGTACATAGAATCATATAATATGTGACTTTTTATATTTGGCTTCTTCTATTTTGCATAATGTCTTCAAGGTTCAATTATGTTATAACATGTATTAATACATTCGTTTTATTTTTATGTTTTGAGACAAAGTCTTACTCTGTCACCTAGGTTGGAGTGCAGTGGCTTGTGATCATGGCTCACTGCAGCCTCAACCTCTTGGGCTCAAGTGATCCTCCCACCTCAGCCTCCTGAGTAGCTGGGATTATAAGTGTATACCACCATGCCCAGCCAATTTTTTGTTTTTTGTAGAGAGAGCGAGTCTCCCTATGTTGCCCAGGCTGGTCTCGAACTCCTGGCCTCAAGTGATCCTCCCACCTCAGCCTCCCAAAGTGCTGGGATTACAGGCATGAGCTACAGAGCCCAGCCACTTCATTCCTTTTTATTGTTGAATGATCTATTGTATGGATATACCATACTTTTGTTTATCCATTCATCCATTGACAGACATTTGGGTTGTTTCCACTTTTGGGCTATTGTGACTAGTATTGCTATAAATATCTGTGTACAAGTGTTTGTCTGAATGCCTGTTTTCAATTATTTTGGTATACACCTGAGAGTGGAATTGGTGGGTTATATGGTAATCCTATGCTTATCTTTTTGAGGAAGCATCAAGCTGTTTTCCACAGCTTGACTATATATAATTTTTATCTTTTGAGTTTAAGCATTCTGTGTGATGTGGCAGCTATTAACTCACAGGACAAACATATTGAACACCAAGCAGTGGCTGGGTGCTTTGGAGACCACACAGTGATCACATACAGAGAATGCCCTCAAAA